TTTATATATTGGGTAGAATCTCAAAGATTTTCACAATATTTACGTCTGAAATGTTTATACATTTGAAAAAAGAACTGTCTAGCTCCTTCCTAGCTCTGTATAATGAATATATACCGCCTAAATTAATATCGGTACTTGAATGACCGTAATGCATAACATCAATTTATATATTGCGTAGATTCTCAAAGATTTACTCAATATTCACTCTGAAATGTTTATACATTTGAAAAAAGCAGTGTCTAGCTCCTTCCTAGCTCTGTATAATGAATATACCGTCTGATAATATCGGTACTTGATTGAATGCCCGTACTGCATAACATCGGTTTATATATATTGCGTAGATTCTCAAAGATTTACTCAATATTCACGTCTGAAATGTTATAATTATGCATTTGAAAACAACACTGTCGCTCCTTCCTAGCATCGTCACGTCATCCTTACCGTGATCTACAGCTTGATAGCGCATGCGCATTTGCCCTGCTAAAAAAATCGGGTGTTCCGGGGTAAAGATCCTTTACACAACATGAGAAGCGAATGTTATAAAAATTACAAAAAATTACAATAACGACAACGATTCCTCGAAATTTTTCGTGAACTTGGCAAAAGGACAAAAGATTATTTAAATAAGAACAAATGAAATTGCGTAAGTAACCTTCAAAGCACTGACTAAACACAATAAATCACACAAACATAAATCGTATACTCCCCCCGGAAAGTTTACTCTCTGCCTGTATCTATGAATAGATAGGATAGATATATAGATGTATGAATACATGCCTCGTCTCACCTTGCCACCTAACAGCAATAGTGCAAAGTGAAACTTTGCACTAAAAACTACATTTTGGCAACAAAAGCAAACACAAATAAATTTCGCAGCAAAAGGAATCTGATGAGCGGCGGTGTTCTTAGTTTGGGGTTTTGTGAGCTTAAAATTGGCTCATTATGCGACAGGAGAATATGAATCTGTCAGAAGAACAAGAATTCATGACGTGTAATATTTTTGTAACAGAATATGACTTCATCAGCAAGCTTCCATCTCATGCATTGTATATAAACCACATTATCGTTCTTGCTATAAACAGCATCTTGGTAATACCAACAATATTACTGAACGCTGTTTCAATAATGACCATTTCGAAGTCATCTCAACTGAAAAGCAAGCCTTGTTATTTTATCATTCTTATTCAATCTGCAGCAGATTTGGTAGTTGGTGTTTTGGCGATACCTTTATATCTTGCCAATCTTTCTGGTAAAATAAGAGGAGATTCAAACTGCTTTGTAGCGGTTCTAGCGTACATATTATTGCCTATAACACTTGGGACGTCGACGTTTATTTTATTTGGGATGACGTTGGAAAGATACATTGCAATACTACATCCATATTCATACAGTCGAGTGACAAAGAGGAAGATTTTGATATTTGTATGTTTTGCTGTTACATGTGTCGTTTTCGTGGCTATTCTCTCGTCTGCAATTCGAGTTCTGCGCGCTGTTTCTATAACTGCAATGGTAACACTGTTTTTCATTTTCGCTGCTTTTGTCTACACAAGAATTTATCTGGTCGTCATAAAGATGGCTAACTCACAAAAGAATACGCACAGCGTCGCTGTCACTGAAGAAAACATAACAAGAAAGAAACGTTTCCTTCATGAAATTAAGCAAGCGAAATCGTGTTTCCTTGTTGTTATGTGTTATTTTATCCTGTCTTTCTTGCCAGTGACACTGGCGTTGATTATCGTAACCAAGGGCAACCAATTTCAGGTGCAGACATTTTATGCCTGGACAACGACACTTTCCATGTTGAAATGCAGCGCTAACTCGTTGATATTCTTTTGGACCAAAACCATGTTGAGAAGGGAAGCCGTAAAGATGTTGAAATCTGTCTTAAGCCATAGCCCATAGTAAAGGACTGGACTAGATTTCAAGTCCGGGCAATCTGATCAAGTCAAATTTTCTTGTGAGCTCACAAATCAATTAAATCGTTTCAAGAAATCTACAGGCGCTAACAGAAAAGAAGTTGCGCTAATCGCTAATCGAAAAGCAGAAAATGTATGTTCAAGCAGTTTTTTTAGGGTGGTGCTGGACTTCTCTAGAAGGGGGAGGGGTGCTAGATATCACAAGATGGGATGCCCACCCACTGCATCCCACGGAGGATTCGCCCCTTGCCCCAATATTTGGTTACAAACCGTTCGCCATTGTCAAAAAACTCTACTCTAAGCACAACAGAATCAAGTCGTTATCTTTGTTAAACTGCATGGCTTGTAAAACCAGAACGAAGCAAGAGAAAGACTATTTAATTTGTTTCTCCTATGGTGTTGTCTGTTTACAAGAAAACCGGATACAAAATAGCACAGACCAGTCTAAAGCCAGCACGGACCGGTCGGAGACGAATTTGGCGCGAGATAAATGTATATATTAGAATAAAGTATACTTCAAATTCAAATTAAGTGTCCAATCAGGAAGCTAATTTTGTGCCACGGGAGCATGAAATTTAAGAGGCAGTCCGTGCAAAAAAAACGTTGACTTTAGCCCGCGTGCAGGCCCACCGAGGGAAGAATAGTGGCCTGCAAGCAAGACCTGGTATTTTGTGCTTTCCGCGTTCGCCCACGAACGCAGCATTCTGATTGGCTGTTTGCTGTTGAATTCATAATTAGATCAGTGATTCATCACAAAGGCTCTCGATAAGCTTGTAAAAAATGGATATGATCACTTTTTTCGATTAAAAATGGAACAAGAACAGACTGTTTATTGCTTAGTTGAAGGAAGAGATGTTTTTGCCGTTACGCCAACGGGGATTGCTTGTCGTGAAGTGTTGGAATAGCAACATTACCACTGGGTAAGCTATAGGAACTAGAGGTGTGCAAATCCGATCCGAAACCGATCTGAATCCGAATCCGATCGGATTCGTTCGGATTTCGGAACCAAAATATTCATTTCGGATCGAATCCAATTGATAATTACGATATCCGAAATGAAATGAACTAATTATCCACGCATTATCGCAAGAATTAATTATCCATGCATTTATCAAAGTATTATCGCGGTTGTCGCTGCATTATTCGTTTGATACTTCAATTTGACGCCACTTTGTCAGCTTCTTGACATGCATTTTTTGCTTTTATATTTATTTGATTAAATATTTCAACTTGAATGAGAAATTTATTTTATTAAAGAATTCTTCGGATCGGATTGGAATTCTTTATCAAAGCTCGGATCGGATTCGGATTAGACAATTTCGGATCGGATTTTAAACATTAGGCAATTGTCGGATTATAAACGTCCAATCCGATCCGATGCACACCTCTAATAGTAACCTTTACTTGAGTTTCATTAATTTCAAACAGACTTGATATATACGTTATATGTTCCTGAAGAAAATTATCTTTGGGTTGATGTTGACTCTGTTCTTGCACTGAAGAAAACAGCGCTTTTCGCGGTGAAGATTTAGAGGCAGTTGCATGTAAGCCTATTCGAAACACTTTGCGATTTGCAGGGCTTCGCTAAGAGAGCGAAACAGAAGACGCTAGACGCTGTCTGAATCCGTCCCCAACATGTATGCTGATGATACAAATATAACTGCTTATCATACAAATATTAATAAAGTTGAAGACGAACTTAATAAACATCTAGATATCTTGTATAGATGACTTCAAGCAAATACACTAAGTTTAAACGTCTTAAAAAGCGAGTATATGTTAATTGGCTCCAAAGTCCGAATAAATAAGTTGACATCAGATCCTAAAGGCGGATTTCCAGTCCTCGCACGAAGCTCCTCGCAGCTCGCTTTGAGTGCTTGCATCTAATTAAAATTAACGGTATAGCATTGTGACTGGAAAGTGCTCATGCATCACTCGCAGCGAGGAGCTTCGTGCGAGGACTGGAAATCCGCCTTAAGATATTTATCGGAGGACACCGCTTAAAGCGAGTAGTTGTAGGCTAACAAAATCCCTGGGGCTTATGATTGATGAAAATTTATCGTGGGAAGAACACGTAAATAATATATCCAAAAAAGTAGCCAAAGGCCTGGGAATGTTAAGACATATTCGTGATCTGGTGCCAATTAACACGCTAGTTGACATATACTCTTGTATGATTCTCACCCATTTTGATCATTGTAGTTCTGTGTGGGATAATTCCAGAAAAGGTTTACGGGATAAGCTTCAAAAATTACAAAATCGAGCGGCTCGAATAATTACTAGGAACTACGAAATACGCTCTGATCTTCCCAAATTTTAAATAACTTAAATTGGTCGACACTAGAAGATAGGCGAATGAAACAAAAATCTTGTCTAATGTTCAAAGTATTCCACAAATTAGGCCCATCTTATCTTTCACAGCAATTTAATAGAGCGAATATAATTCACATGCAGTCACGACACGAGGTCATGACTACAATTTTTTTATCCCTAAAACAAACACCAATTTTTTGAAAAATAGTCTCGAATATCATGGAGCAGTGGTATGGAATTCAATACCAATTGAAATTAGGAATTCCACTTCCCTAAAAATATTCAAAAATAAACTGTAGTCGTAGAATTAATTTGTTAATATGTATATAGCTTTAATTTCTCATTCTCCTTGTAAATATTGTAAATATTTCAAATGTCACGGCGCCTGGGCAGATCATCTTATTTTCGATGATAGGCCCCCGTGCCTAAATAAAGTTCACTATTCACTATCACTATCTCAGAGTTTATTTTAACCTGCAGTTCTACGCAAAATGTGAAGTTCTAAACCCATTTGTGCAGTTCTTAAAACTCAAATGTACAGTCACCAAATTAACAAAAATATAACCTCAAAACAGTGACTTGAAGTCATTTACTCGTTTTCCTTGTGGATGCTCCAGATGCCAGAAATGCTGTCACTGAGCATCAAAAATCTAAATGTTTTGTGGAAGAGGACCACCAGATCCTCATATTTTCCTCATAAATCACATACGTGCTGGGGTAATGGAACAGGAGGTAAAATTGGGGCGAGCGAAGCTATTCAAAAGAGATTAGAGTGGGAGAACCTAATATTCTTTGCTGCCTAAGGTATACTGCCTAAAGAATACTATATTGAGTATTCATGATTCCCAGTTACATGTTTTGAAACAGTTTTTGTGGATGGTTGGGTGAAACAAATCTTTGCCAAAACTTACGAGCCTCTAAATTCAAAATTTGGGAGACACCCGCTACCTGTAGCCCCCCACCCAGAATCGAGTTCGTCTGGCCCCACCCAACCACGCCTTTATTCTGCCACCTATATACAAATTAAGAGTCTATCATAATTTACAACGTTAAATATAGATAAAAATCCTTTGACCCCCCCAATCAAACATTCTTTCACCCCCCAGTCAAACACGTGATGCTTCTTAACATCCCTAATATGTGCAGTTCTAAATTTTTCTTAAAATAAATCCTGCACGCCAACAAGAATTGCACACACGATCTGATAAGTGAGACAATTTATTTATAACAATGGCGACAGCGAAGCACACATTAATGCTAATGTGGTCGCAGAACTTGCCTGTTCCGATTTTAGTTGAAAATGGGCACTTCCAAATTTGGCAATTACTGACCGCGTTGCTTGCTTTTTAGGAGTTAAAACACAGCTATTTACAAAAATGTTTTTAACACGAAAAACTTAAGTAAATACATTAAAAAATTATAGCTTATAACTAGAAATACATGCATGCAACGACCCCTCGCGTATATTTTCCAAACATTGTTTCAACATGAAGTATTCGTATAATTATGCCAACACTGAAGGCAGGCTCGCGTTACTCGTCATGTTTGTCATGGGAACACGATAAATGGTTTTTAAACTTTTTGTACAAACCGGCAAAATATAGATGAAACTTGAACACTTTTAAATACAGAACTATCAAGTTATAAAATATATAAAGTAGGTATATTATTTTGCTTTCTAAGGGCTTTATTTTAATGTAAAATTCAAAACGAAACTCTAAGTAAAACTTTTTAAAATGTGAATTGAAAATAACTGCTTTTGCCGATATTAAGCTAATAAACTCTTCAACTCGAGCTTCAACTTATTACTCGCTCCTTGAAGTGAAATGAATTTAATTCGTAAAGGACGCTTTATATGAATATAATTTGCTTTCCTTTTTATCATGAACTTCTATACAAAAGTTAATTTAACTATAAGAAACTTGCAATGCACAGGAAAGATTTGAATAACAAGAACAAATTCTATATTTATTTAATAATACAAAGTCAAAGTCACACATAAACAATTGAAACAAACTTGCCGTATACTTCTCGTACTGAATCAATTCTTATAAATGTTTACGTTTAAGAAAGGAAAACAATTTTAAAATTTGTATGTGAAACGATTTTCTAGGCTTTCTTACATGTATTTTATATATTTTTGGCTCCTTCACTCCTTGCAAACAGCCATATTTTGAGATCAGTGAGATGACCACACACCGAAACTTCGTTGGTGAGCCACGCCCGCGATCATTGATGAACTTTAGACTTTGCTAATGCTTTCGTTTCCCCGGGTGTAAATAGCCGGACGGAATTAGTACCCTCGCCCCGGCCTTACGCCCGGAACGGATTGGCTCGGGGATTAGTCGAATTAGCGAAAGTTGACTATATTCATGACGCGCTTGTTAGGCGAAAAACGCACTGCCCAAAGATTTTATTCTTTATTCTAGTAAATGTGTCATAATACTCAGTAGCTGCAATAGATTGGATACCTAATACCGTTGCACTTTTGAGAAAAAAAATTACCGCCGGCATACAAACACGAATAATTTAATCCACTGTCTACAAGACGTTTTTAAAAAATTACAATATTTTGTTTGCTTCAAGTGATCAGGATAATTTTCATTTTAAGTTAATACCTAGGCAGGAAATAATAAAATATATAAGTTTCAAGAAGTTAGAATAAAAGCGCGTGATGAAAGTGAGATATAAAATTGCGTAATTAACGTTTTAACATGTTTTCGAACGCGTCCAAAATAATTGCGAAAAAATTTTTGAACTGACTACAATTCCAAAGTCATCGTTTTTTGTTCATTTTATGAATGACTTCTTCCACACAGAAAGCATGGAAGAATTATGTAATCTTACGAAATTCGAGTGGTCGGTTTTTACACGGATTGCCTCTTAACTTCGAATCACGCCTTACGTCATCGTATTTGACGGTGATTTCAATCATATCACACGGGGTGGGTGATTTGATCATATCATCCGGCCGATCCGGGTGATACGAATCGCGCAAACCACGCGCGGCGATCACGCAATCAAGATGGCCGACAAAATATTATACTGAAACAAGTATTATGAGCCAATGTATATATTAATTAATGTGGTATGGGTCAAATCCATCGATGTCACTACTATAACAAAGATTGGACAGTTAATAACTCATGAAGAAAATTAAAAAGAAATCGATGTGTAAAGAGGAGTATATTTGATGTATATATTACTTAATATCAGTAACGGAACACATATATATGGTGCTTGATTAGACTGTCAGAGAACACAAGTATACAAGTGAATTCATTTTACGCTCTCGAGGAGTTACATCAGGGGTGCAGAGAGCAGTCTCCACTTTCAAAGGAATATCATACAGGAACAACACTTAACAAGTGAATGCAAGAAGCGGGCACAAAAAGAACACAAGGCAACATCGCTCGGATTCTACACTGGAAGTTTTGTGGTTTGTACCAACAAGCGAAAGCTGAAAAATGGTGTGAGCACCAACCGAACGGAGTAATTGAACCAGAAGATGTAAAGATTCTGTGGGATTTTAACATTGAGTGTGACCATATGATTGAATGAAGAAGAACTGATATTGTAGTGATTTTAAAGAAGAAAAAAGAGTGCAAAGATCATAGATATTGTAGTTCCAGGGGACGCTAGAATAGGTCTAAAAGAAACAGAGAAGATAGAAAAGTATGATGAGTTGAAAGGGGAAATTCGAAAAATATATGCAATGAAGAAAGTATTTGAATACTGTTCTTAGGGTTTGTAATCCAAGTGAGTATATATATATATATATACATTTTAAGACCTGACCAGGAACGACTGCGAAAAATGCAGCACAAGGTCTTCTGGTAGGAATTGAACCTACGGCCCTGCGATTCCGGTGCAGCGCTCTAACCAACTGAGCTACAGAGGCCAGCTGTTGAGCTGTAACCGTCAGTTCATGTATATATTAGGTGATCGGGTGTGCGAGTTGTGTGGGTTACAAACCCTAAGAACAGCATTCAAATATTAATACCACCAAGTGAAGTGCAAGAAACCAGATCAATGAAGTCCACCTTATCACAACCCGCACACACCCGATCACCTATATATACATGAACTTACGGTTACAGCTCAACTGCTGGCCTCTGTAGCTCAGTTGGTTAGAGCGCTGCACCGGAATCACAGGGCCGTAGGTTCACAGGTTCAAAGGTTACGTTGCTGGTTATGCTCGACATGAGTGCTGCCTTTGACACTATAGACCATAATATTCTTATTGATATCCTCAAGCACTGGAGAAGTGGACAGCGCACTTCAGTGGTTTAGATCGTAATAGAGAGCAGCAAGTTGTCATTGATCGGTGTAACTCCTCCGAGTTTATGGTTGCTACTGGAGTTCCCCAAGGCAGCTGCCTGGGTCCTGTTCTATTTTTACTTTACGTGTCTGGCCTTTCTGAGATTATTTCTAAACATCTGCCTTGTCATCATGCTTATGCAGATGACACACAATTGTATCTTTCTTTTAAACCTCAGAACTCATTGCATCAGGAGTCAGCTGTTAAAGCAATGGAAGATTGTATTGATGAGCTTTGAAACTGGATGACTGCACATCGTCTTTTTATTCAAAGTAGCAAGACAGAGTTTATTATTATTGGCTCTCGTCAGCAATTATCCAAGGTATCGATTAACAAATTGAGGGTAGGAGAAGTATTGATTTCTCCAGTAGGCCTTGTTCGTGATCTTGGGTCTTGCTTAGATACTCACATGTCCATGAATTTGCATATTAGCAAAATCTGCAGCAAGGCCTTTCGAAGCCTTTACCATATCAAACAAATCAGGAAATATTTAACTGACGATCCTACCAAAATTTTAGTTCATGCATTTATTACATCTCATTTGGATTATTGCAATTCTTTGCTGTATGGAATTCCAAAATATCAATTAAATCGATTGCAGAAAGTGCTAAACGCTGCTGCTCGTGTTGTATGTCTTTTACCTAAGTTTGATCACATTACATCTACATTAATGAGACTGCATTGGTTACCGGTTAAATATCGTGTTATATTCAAGATCGTACTGTTGGTTTATAAAGCTCAGCATGGATTGGCTCCCAAATATATTTGTGACATGTTGACTTATAAACAAAGTAATAACTACTCTTTGAGATCGGACGAACTAGGGCTTCTTCATGTTCCAAGCACACGTAGAAAGTCTTTTGGTGATCGTGCCTTTTTGAAAGCAGGACCGTCCTACTCTATGGAACTTAGTACCGTGTGAGATTCGGCTTTCACCTTCGTTGGATTCTTTTAAGATAAATCTTAAGACATTTTTGTATAGAGATGCGTACATTAATAATACTTCTTGTTTTTAAATATTTTTAAACAGATGCTTATAGTAGTTAAATGTTGTGTAAATAACGTAGGGAAATTTTTAAATTAGCTTCCTCTTTTATGTAATTAAGCGCTTTAGAATATTCTATAGTTTTAGCGCGGTACAAATTAATAATAATAATAACAAGAATACTGAGAAGCTTGGAAAGCTAAAATTTGTGCATGGGACCTGAGGCTACTCATTGTAGCCATCTTTTAGCATAAGAACAGGGCTGTGAAAGTGTTCAAATAAAAACGACACGACTATTATCAGTTTTGGTTCGTGGAAACACAACGCAAAGCTATTATTTGTACTTATAACCTTAATTTACTAAAAATATGACTGCTTGAAAATTTAATAATCATAGATATGCATATACATGACAATATAAAACAATACGTCTTTGAATGTTTGTATAGTAATGCAATAAAATGACAAGTGACAATAAAAATGCACACCAAACTTAATTATACAACGTAGCCTACTACTTCGTATGGCGTTTCTGAAGGACTTTTAAGCTTTCGGCACGAACAATAGAAGTTCAGAACATAACGAGAAGGCCTTAATTTAACCACAAGGAAACCACCGTCTTATAGCGCCCAATTTTATCTTTCAATAAGAACTCAGCTAACCGGAAACTCATATGAGTGAGATCTGCATGCCTTTTGTTAACACATATTAAATTCAATTCGTGTTCATACAGGAGAAACACGCCTGCCTGGCTATGTGACAACTCACTTTGCGTTAGGTGGGATCTATGTCAAATGGGATAAAAAAATTTTCCATATGAAACTTTCTCACAACTGACCGGGATGGACATTTTTTGCAGAATTTGACCTATATACAAAAGAAAAGTAAATACTATTAAAGCAGACACTATTAAAATCGTAATACAAGATGCAATTTGTGTAATTACACCTAACATCGAAGGCCCCATGTTTACATAATTTCATCCAAACGGAGCGCGATATTATAGATGGGATAAAAGCAGTCAAATCACTCATATGAACACAGAAATAATTCATCACACTTAGTTAAGCTTCAGGGGAAACAGGTCAACAGACCTGTAAAAATATATTTATTTTATAGTTGTGTAGTTTTGCTTGTCTAATCAACATGTATATATGTTAACGAAACTTCTACTTATTAAAAGCAAGCAATGTCAAAATTATTCATACACTGATATTAAAACTACACTTTGGCCACAAAAGCAAACACGAATAAATTTCGCAGCAAACGCAATTTGATGAGCGGCAGTGTTTTTAATTTGGGGTTTTAACCTTGTGGGTTTGGCTCTTTACGACTGGAGAATATGAATCTGTCAGCAGAACAAGAATTCATGATGTGTAATATTTTTGGAACAGAATATGCCTTCATCAGAAAGCTTCCGTCTCATGCATTGTATATAAACCACATTATCGTTCTTGCTATAAACAGCATCTTAGTAATCCCAACAATATTACTGAACGCTGTTTCAATAATGACCATCTCAAAGTCATCTCAACTGAACAGCAAGCCTTGCTATTTTATCATTCTCATTCAATCGGGCGCAGATTTCGTAGTTGGTGTTTTGGGGATACCTTTATATCTTGCCAATCTTTCTGGTGAAGTAAGAGGAGATTCAAACTGCTTTGTAGCAGTTCTAGCGTACAGATTATTGCCTATAACACTTGGGATGTCAACGTTTATTTTATTTGGGATGACGTTGGAAAGATACATTGCAGTACTACATCCATATTCATACAGTCGAGTGACAAAGAGGAAGATTTTGATCTTTGCATGTTTTGCAGCTAAAGGTGTCGTTTTCGTGGCTATTCTCTCGTCTGCATTTCGAGTACTGCGTTCTATTTTTATAACTGCAACGGTAACACTGTTTTTCATTTTCGCTGCTTTTGTATACACAAGAATTTATCTGGTCGTCATAAAGATGGTTGACTCACAAAACAATACGCACAGCGTCGCTGCCACTGAAGAAAACATAACAAGAAAGAAACGTTTCCTTCAAGAAATTAAGCAAGCGAAATCGTGTTTCCTTGTCGTTATGTGTTATTTCATCCTGTGTTTCTTGCCAGTGACACTGGCGTTGACTGTCGTAATCAGGGGGAACCAATTTCAGGTGCAGACATTTTATACCTGGACAACGACACTTTCTATGTTGAATTGCAGCGCTAACTCGTTGATATTCTTTTGGACCAAAACCAAGTTGAGAAGGGAAGCCGTAAAGATGCTGAAATCTGTCTTAAACCATAGTCCATAGTAAAGGACTGGACTAGATTTCAAGTCCGCGAGGAATACGAATAAATCATTACTTAAAGTGAGGTGAATTAATTTTGATCCAGTCCAAGAAATGAATTAATTTTGATCCAGTCCTAGGACAGGATCAATATACTTCATCAGGGATACAGTATTATCATGTGAGCAAAAGAAAGCAAAATGGTTGGCTAATTTACTCGTGAAGTAATAATAGTTTGAGATCGACAGTTTAACTGCGTAACAAAGATGTGGCAATAATCATTCAATCATAAAAGCATTGATAGCCTATAAATTAAGCTATATATATTGCATGAAATTTAAGGTAAAAAGTTCCCAGCAGCAAAATGTGGCCATATATATGTTCAGAACGTAAATTCGCCGGTCCCCCAATCAGCGGCGGATCTAGCCTCATCTGCGGAATGCAGGATGCAAGTTTTCCATTTGGTGGTGTATGAAGGAGCCGTACTTGCCACTCCCCTCTGCAGTCTACAACGCTACTATCCCAACATTACCATATAAAGTTTATATCAACTTTATATCACGTATGGGTAACTGGACAATTGCCGTACCACAGTAGGTAGGTAGGTAGGTAGGTAGGTAGGTAGGTAGGTAGGTAGGTAGGTAGGTAGGTAGGTAGGTAGGTAGGTAGGTAGGTAGGTAGGTAAAACTTTATTTCACTACGCTAACCCCTACAGCGAAGCTGATTTTAACGGGGGCGTAGATTTAAATAGTTAAAAAATACAATTAATACAAATTATGGTCATGCATTACATTACAGTTATTAACAACAATTACAATACATTTACAAATACTACTAGTATATAATTATTTACATATTAATTATTTACATATTAATGTTATTACTATGTAATATTCTTAGTTAACGTAATTAATTTATTAATTAATTAATTAATTAATTGGCCAGGTGTCGTATACATGAATTAAACGAAACAAGAGAATGTTTGTTTCTTGCTTCATCTTAAAGGCTTGCTTCATCTTAAAGGCTTGCCTCAAAGGCTTTTAAAGATATTCAGTCTTAGGTTTGGGCAAAAAGAGTTTGGTGGAAGTGCCTCGCATATTATAGTAATAAGACTTCCTTTGAAAAATGTTGGTTAGTCGTTTTGGCGCCAGTTCGTGAGTTATTTTATACATAAGACTTGCTACGAAAAGTGTTCTGCGTTCACTTAAAGGTTTCCATTTCAGTTCGTCTAGAGCAAGTTCAGTTTGACCGTGTTCGTTTTTACGGCCAGTAATAACTCGAACTGCCTTATTTTGTAGTTTCTCGAGTCAATCAGAAAGTGTGGCGCCAATGGTCTCCCAAACTTCGCAACAATGATCTAGGTGTGGAAGTATAAGTGCATTATAAGCACATATTAATGTATTATGATCCACACAAGATTTTAGCTTTCTGATCGCCTCCATTCCGGATGAAATCTTCTTAGCAATTTTACATATATGTCCAATATAGCCATCGGTTGTCAGGTGGTGAAGATGGTGTAAGATGGTGTCAGATGCTTTGTTTGTCAGACGCTTGTAGTGTGGTGTCGGATGGTGTAGGATGGTTCAGCTGAACAGTTGTTGTCAGGTGGTGAA